CAGCAACATAGCCATTACGCTAACTGCTGGTTCCCAACTTTTTGAAGACTTCTTATAACATCCAGCCATCACATCCCTTGGTTTATACCCAATGGAGCTGAAAACTGTGTCCTCTCAGGACATTTTTAACAGCTTTATTCATTATTGCTCAAACTTGAAGCAACAAAGATTGCCCTTTAGTAGTTGAACTACTAAATAAACTGATAAATCCAGACAATGGAATATTATTCATCACTAAAAAGAAATGAGCTATCATGCTATGAAAAAACATGGAAGAAACTTAAACATGTTACTAAGCGAAACAAAGCTAATCTGAAGAGGCTACATACCATATGATCCCAACTACATGATATTCTGGAAAAAGCAAACCTATGAAGACAATGAAATGATCAATGGTTGCCATGAGTTCTGGGGAGGGAAGCAGCTCAATAGAGCACATAGGATTTTTAGAACCGTGAAAATAATCCACACGATACTACAATAGTGTATGTATGTCATGATGCATGTGTTCGAATATATAAAAGGTACACCAAGAATAAGCCCTGGGCCCAGCAGTTAGCATAATGGCTATGTCGCTGGACTCCCACGTAGTCAACCGCGGTTCGAGTCCCGGGCCCAGTGGCTTAAACTCACGCCAGGTGCGTGTGCGTGCGTGCCCAAGATCCCGAGAGGAGAGTAGAGGAGAAGGGATTGTGGCGTGGCCATCCCCCCCGGAGGGTGATTTTTCGCTTTCTGTCTCTCTGTCTGTCTGACGAGTGCACGCGCCCTATAGCAAAAACCTCTCCGAAAAAATAAAAAAGAATAAGCCCTAAGGTGAACTATGGACAGAGATGTGTCGATTATCAATTGTAACATAACGAATTGGAACAAATGTACTAGGTGGAGATGGTGATAATGAGGGCGACCATGCATGTGTGGGGGCAGCGGGCATACAAGAAATCACTGTACTTTCCTCTCAAATTTGCTGTAAACCTAAAATAGCTCTTTAAAATAAAGTCATAATAACAAAATATTTCCTCTGCAGGGAAACTGGGGAGAGAATTTATATTCTGTATTTGTTAGAAGGCAGGGGGTAGGAGTGATATAATGGCAAGATTACCTTTAAACTTCCTTCTAAATCTTGAAAGGCTAAGATTGGGAGGTGGAAAACATAAAGGCCATTTAGCTCCTCTAAATTAAGCATATTTCAGCTATCACTATACCTAAAAGCACACTAAAGTCAATATTCCCAATTTTCAAGGTGTGCTTGTTTTTAGTTCAAATATTTAGTTACCATTTATGGAAGCTCTGCATTATGTGGAACGCAGCAAAATAACCAGTCAGCTCTTCCTTTGCTAATACTTTCTTTCAGTACTCAAAATTGGGGATTCTCTTCTCTCTCTCTGTCTCCTCTCTCTTTTTCTCTTTCTCTTTCTCTTTCTCTCTCTCTCTCTCTCTCTCTCTTTCTTTCTCTTTCTCTTTCTCTCACTGTAGACCCCTTTGGGAATAAATCACACATCACTGCTGCCATTGTCCTTCACAGCTTATGGTAGACGATTCTCTCAGGGCTACAGGGCTAAGGAAGCTAGGTGAGTGAGGCACATTTGGGGAAATGTTTCTTCTCTTCTCTTTTCTTTTTTTTTTTTTTAAGTTTTTGCCATAAGGTACCTGTGCTCACCAGAGAGAGAGAGAGAAAAACAGAGAGAGAGGAAGAGAGCAGAGACAGAGACAAAGTGAGTGGGAAATCAAGAAATAACCTGCCGGGGGGCAGGGGTGGTGGTGGTAATCATGCTGCAATCCTTTCTCTTCTGTTCTCCTCCTGGGATTTGGGGCACACACAAAAATGCTCCTGGAGTGAATTTCAAGTCACCAGGTCTGGGTCTCAAACCAGAGTCTGCCATGTGGGAGTCTGACACCTTAACCACTATGCCACCTACCAGCCCTGGGGAAAAAAAAAAATTTAAATGTCTTACTTGTTACACCAATAAGAGTTGTAATGGCCAGATCCTGGAACAGAAACTGGTAGTTTGAAAGGCTATTTGTCTCCTGAAAATAAAAAGGAAAGTGGACCCAAAAAGTTATAACCTTCACAAAGTTTGACATCAATTACATTCATTTATCATTTGCATTCATTTCCCCACCATAATGTAGGATTTTTCAAGCACTTGACCAAGAAAACGGTGTGGTCAGGAATCTGTTTGGTGGTGGTGGAGGAGGTGCAAGTATGCAAAGCCCAGCCCATGAAACCCTCTAGCCAAGAAAGCCACCATCTTGTGCTCTCTAGGCTGGGCCCTTTGTTGGTGTGGTCAGGAATCTGCTTGGTGGTGGTGGAGGAGGTGCAAGTATTCAAAGCCCAGCCCATGAAACTCTCTATCCAAGAAAGCCGCCATCTTGTGCTCTCTAGGCTGGGCCCTTTGTGCATCAGAATTACCCTTTGCTGATGGGAACTTCTCCTCTACTAGATTAATCTCCATACTTTTCTACTTGTTAGTGGAAAACTTGAGACTTGGTCTGGCACAGTAAAAGAATACATCTTCAATAGTAATGAATGACAAGTGTTTGGTCACCTTACCTAAGTTTTAATGATGAAAAATGAGGATTACCAAGCCTACTGTTTGCATTTTTGAGTATTATTAAGTGAGATATTAGACAATCCTGATAAAGTACCTTAATAATCTTGAAGAAAAAGTGTTTAAGTCTTACTTATTTCAATTACTCAGGAATTTCCTTACTCTCCATCCTTTCATGAAAACATGCCCCATGTTTTCATCCACTTTTGAGCATGAATTATTGAGATTCCAAATAAGACCAAACTTCTATGAATAGTCCTTAGTGTAGTGAGCATGAAAAGATACAGATAATCTGAAAGCAATAGAACTAAAACCCTCAATGCAAGAGAGAAGGGGCAAGATATAAACAGAAATCTAGGTATCTTCAGCACAAATAGAATTCCTTATCTTAGTGTTAGTTAGCAGAATAAGCTCACATACTGAGTTCACAAACAAGATGTATATCTTTCCTCATTTTATATCTTGTTAAGTAGCCCAAATCAGCTCAAGAACTATTTACTTTTTTGTGTTATGGCATGCCAATTTTCCAATCTTTAATTTAGAGCATCTGTGATATGCTGGCTTGCACTAACTGTTGAAAGTAAATAGCTAAACTTTCAGGAATATTGCAAACTGGTTATAAAAAACAACCCATGCAAAAACTTAAATATATGTGGTTAAATGTAATATAAAAATAAATAACTAAATAAATGAAAATTAAGGAAAAAGATTATTAAATAAGTTATACTAAACACAAAGTTAATAAATACTCGAACTCACACTTTCCAATTATTTTCCTACATTTCACTGCTCTAAGCTTTTAAAGTAATCTGCAATTCTTTTTATAAGATATATGGTGCAAGTACAATATAATGAGATGCCAAATACATCTCTTCTCCTCTCTATAACCAGTGACAAGAGGTAGATAACTTGAAGTTGGTTACGAAGGGAGTATTTACACCATTGAAATTGGCAGGCATTAATAATAAGGGATTTTTTTCCAAGGAGAGTCAGTTATTAAACATTTGCCAGCATACTAATTCAGAGAATAATCTCTCGAATGACTGGTATGCGAGGCTAGAGCCACACTGGAACTGGGAGGAGAGAGACTTGGTCTAAATAGGCGAAAGCAACAGTGAGAAAGAAAGTGGCATATTCCATTCTGAGCCTCGGCTACCACTAATTGAAAGCAGTTCTCTATGTCAGCATCAGAGAATTAACACCAACAATTTCTTACTGGGTACAACTGACTATTCCAGATTTACTTTAAAAATACCAGAAGAATATGTTCAGGGGGCTGTGGATGCTCAGATATCTATCCTATTTGGGCTCCTTTTTAAGAGGATTGCACATTGAAGTGCACTGCTACTTGTTTAATTCGCACTAACCAAGGGGCTAGGGCCCAAGTCATACCCAGTAGAGCAGCAGAACACCAACATACTGAATCATGCTGTACAGAGCCATGTACTTAAACATGCAAAATGAGGTAACAAGAGCTGCACGTCCTTCCCTGTGTAAGAAAAGAAATGAAAAAGGAATGAAATGAAAGTAATGAGAGAAATGAGGTCCGTGGTTCTGTGCTGTTCAGCTGAGCTAAGGAGGAAGACAGAAAGTCTGATTATAATTGTTTGCCTGACAGGCGGGACTGTCTTGAGTCACTAAGGGCTGGCAGTTAGCACCTAAATGACTAGATTTTCAGGAAAGACCACGTCTAGGACAAGGTCCCCAGGCTCTGGGAGCTGGTCCCAGATCTTACACCAACTCACTAATGGGATTTGGGAGGTCATTTCCCTTGTTTCAGTTTCTTCATCTGTAAACTGAGGGATTTAAGTAAGATTACAGATTTGAAGCTGGTTTCACGCAGGTGCTTCAGCAGTTAGGCAAACACTGGATTCAAATTTCATTTTGGCAATCTCAATGTTTTCTACAATGGGACTAAAATAGTAAATGCATTCAGATTAGTCATATGTAAAACTTAAGTAGATTGAAAATTATGTGCATGTTCATTTGTGCTATGATTGACGGGCACTTCCAGTAAATAGTAAACATTTCAAGCGTAAAATAGATGACTTATAAAATGATGCTTTTATCTATTTCACTTGAAGAAAAAAAAAAAAAAAACAGAATCTAACAGTACTCATAATCATAAAATCTCCAGGAGTTCTAAAACCTGATCCTTAAGTCAAGGTTTCACTGCTGCCGCTCACTCTAGCCAGAAGAGTTTCTGTGCATTTCTCCTCTCCCTGCAGGGGTTTTCATACCACCTGTCTGAAGCAGCCAATGCCTCTTCTCCAGCCCTCTTACCGCCTTTCACATTACCCTATTTACTTTCTTGAAAGCACCTATTAAAACCAGTCAGTATTGTCTTGTCTTTATTGCCCTTAGTTCCTAGCATTAAGTGCCAACGAAATAAGTATCTGGCGAGCACCCTAAATTAAACAATTAGGAGGAGCTAGCAAAGTCATTATTTTAATGTGGTTGAAAGAGTGCCATATTTGTACACAAAACGCACTTAAACAAAATCATTTCTATTATGATCTCCAACTCTCTATGGCTGTGTGAGCTTGGACACATCTATTAAGTTTTCTGAGCCTCAGTTACTTTATTTGTGAAAAAATAATAACTCTTCCTACATCTCCAGGATTTTTTGAAAGATAACAAACTTTAAACTATAAACATTTGCCAGTTATAATAGCAATGTAAACTATCTCTATTATTCAAATAAACGCAGTGTAAGTCCAAAAGCTGGGGGCGGTGAGCGGAAGAAGGAAGCATGCAGGGAAATTCTAGCGGGAGCAGTGAAGATCAATGAACATTTCGGAAACTGTGGATGGGGAGGGTGCCACCTGGAAGCATAAAGGGACAAGGGGGGGAGGGCAGCTGGGTTTCCCCAGTCCCCTAGTGTAAAGCATCTAAGAAGGTACGATTTAAAATGAGGGTGATTGATTGATATTTTTGAAGCTATCAGCTCCAGATTCCCATTTTCCAAATTAGTATCATCAGTGACATTCTTCAGAAATGTCACTGTTCTCTCAACAGTATGTTTAACCCCTGGTTAAGTCCATTTGGCAAAGAATGTTTGACCATACTCTTTGACAAAGCACCCCTCCTTGCCTACGGACACCAAGTGTCCCTACCCATTCCCAGGCAGGACGCATGCAGGATCTACGCCGACAAGCCAAGGAGACGCAGAGGCAGACGTGTGGCGCAGGCGCCTACTTACTTGATAAGGTGAGGTACGCACTCAATGTTCGGAGTTTTGGACGTGAACGGTGAGGCCACGGATGCCTCCTGCTCTGATAAGGAGATGCCCACGTGAGCCATTTTCAGACGCACGTGCTTCCTTCCTGAGCTCACATAAGAAAAGGCCAGTTGAGCTGCTCACGGGGTGACTTACGGGGGCAAAAACTAGCTGGAAAATGAGCAGACGTTATTCTGCCAGCCACGTAAGACAGATGACTTTGGGATACCGAGTCAAATAAGTGGGAACTCTCAAACCAAATTCTGCCCTATTTAACCTGTACTGACTACTGAGTCATCGTGTGGCTTTGGTCAAAGCCCTCCTAAGCCCTCAGCATCAATTTATCCAACAAGAGGAATACACGCAGTGTAGATCCCAGGAGGTACCATCTCTATAGGGCTCCAGACAAGGGTAACGGGAGGGCAAGACTGGGGCCCACACACCAGCAGCTTACCCCACAGTCGTTGGCTCCATCTCCGCACATACCTACAAAGTAGCTGAAAAGAACCATGTCAAATGCAGAGGTCATCAAAGTGATCTTACTAGCTAATTTCTCTAGTCAAAAAGCAAGATGCTGATCACCACGGAGAGCTCAAGTTTAGTATCTACTTTAAGGGAGTTTCCCTAAGAGTCTGGTGTGTCTAGAAGTAAAGTGTGACTCAGCAATCTATTCCCCAAATTGAGAAACCCAGCACCTCGCCCCTGACTGAGAATTGCCTGCAGACACCGCTCTGTATTGCTGATGGATTAGCTTTCTGGGCAGCAAAACAGAGGTGTTCACAATTATGCAACCAGACAGGGTGGTGTGGTGAAAAGGGCACAGAATTTGAAACCAGAAGATCTAGATTTGACCTGGTCATCTTACCCCTCAGTATCATTTTTCTCTCTTACAAAAAGTGCCATGAGTACTGAGAGAGGTGCTGCAAGTAGCAGTGCCTTGTCAAGTCTAAAACAAACAAGCATTCGTTTCTGGTCCTATTAATACTACCGCTTGAGGAAATCCACCCCGTCAACAGTCACTCAACTCAAAAAAGCACTGCTAGGCCCACGAGTTGAAGAAAGAAAACACATCTGTGCTTTATGTGGGCTGTCTGAGACTGGGTGAATACGTCTCTCTTGAATCATTAACAATTATAAGTCATACTTCTGCCCTATGGTAAAGTGTGAGCACTCCGACAGGATTCACAGAATATGCTACACTTTCCATCCACATTACTACATGAAAGTAACTAGTTTGCTTGGTGAGTTTCCATCCACGTTCAAAAGATAAGGCTTACTGCATCAAGAAGCTTCCCTAATAACCAAAACGAGTGAGCAAGAGGATGAAGGACGGTCCGTAGGAGTCCTGTCATTGTGGCCAAGTGCCAAAAGTACAGAGCTTCTTAGGACTTGATGTAGTTTCTTTAATAAGAAATAAAGGATTCCAAATGGTGGGCACTTTATGTGGACTGCCCATTTTGTCTAGGAATGGAGACCTTTTTGGTTAGAAGAAAAGTATTTTTCTGATTTAAGATGGAAACTGTGCTTTGGCACAGAGATCTTTTAGCATTTTTAGGATTATGTGACTCTCTCGTCATCTAGTCAGTCCTGCATCAGCACTGTGATGAGAGTTTTAAAAAATTAAGTCTAAATTGTCATTGTTCCTTTTGGAGCTGGGTTCAAATCACCTATCCAGTTTTACTTCTCACCATACCATTCCACGTCCTTCAGGTTCTAGACCAAGTGGTTCTCAATGTAGATGCAAAATTGACTTACGTGAGGAGCTTCGAAAACATCTGATTTATAAGCCCCATATGAGCGATCGAATGAAAATCTGAATTGTGGCATCCTAGTATTGTTTTCAAAGCTCCCTGGGTGACTTTCATGCTCAGTCAGGGTAAGAAGCACGGCCCTAGTCAAACTAGGTGACTCCCTATACCTCTTACATCCCCCTGGCTATTACGCCTTCATGCAGTTCACACCACCTAAACTAGCAAAAAACCTACTCCAGTTTCTGAAATTCTTCCACCAGACTGGATTTCTGTCCAGGAGACATTCTTGCAAAGACAGTCCCATTGATCAGTATCTGTAAGGAACCCAAAATAAAAAAGTTTTACCATGTCATCTGGTCATACACGACAAGATTGATGACACTCGGAATGCTGACGGGATAATGATACTCTCTATGGTTTGAATGTCCTCTCTAAAATTCATGTATTGAAATTTGATTGTGATAAGACTAAGAGAAAGAAAACTTAATTGACTATGATGCTGAAACATGAAGACTTTGGGAGGAGCTTAGGAATAAAGTCACTAGGTAGAGTCCTCCATAATAAGTCCCGGTGGGTTTATAAGTTGAGGGAACAAGGGAGACTCGTGGATGAAGCATTCTGCTCTGCTCTTGCCCTCCTGCTGTGAACCCTTGAAACTAGATGTGGCTCCTGGACCTTGGACCTCTAAACCATGCACTGAATAAAACTTTACATTTATAAAATTACCTGCACATAGGCATTAGCAACAGATGGAATGAGAAAAAAAATATTGGTATCCAAAGAGCCCTTCTTTAGACTTTAAAACTGATACCGAGACTTTGATCACCAAACAACTGACCAGCGGGACCAGCAGTTGGCGTAATGGCTATGTTGCTGGACTCCCATGTCATCAACTGCTGTTTAAGTCCTGGACCCAGTGGCTTAAACTCACACCGGGTGCATGTGAGTGTGTGTCCAAGATCCCGAGAGGAGAACAGAGAAGGGACTGTGGCATGGCCATCCCCCTTCGGGGTGGGGGTGGGGGATGATTTCTCACTTTCTGTCTCTGTTTCTCTGGTGAGCACACACACCCTATAGCAAAAACCTCTAAAAAAAAACGCTCATGCCCCATAGCAAAAACCACTAAAAAAAAAAAAAAAAAAAAAAAAAAACCCTGACCAGAGTGGAAACCAAAAAATCAGTAAAGATGACTACTTATTAAGCATATATTATGAAAATGATAACATACAGGAATTAGCTCAGCTGCCATGAAGAATGTAGTCCAGAAAAGTCCTGAGCTTATTAGAACCTTCAATCAGTAAAGTCTGAGAAATTGCAATTTGTCAACAGCTCAGAATTCCAGAAGAAGGATAAGAAACAGTTGCTTCTCAGAAAAACTGTTCAGAACTAGTAAGGAAAAAAAAAAAAAAAAAAAAAAAGCCCAGTAGTGAAATAGGCCAGTCTGCGGTCTTTGACTGAATCGTGCCATCTGGAATTGACCAATTATAATATCCAGCTGATATTCCAAATCGCACTTGAGCTATGAAACACTGATGGTTTAAGGGTATAAAAATCTCCTTCAGCTCTATCCATCTAAGTTTTCTTCTACAGAGTTTAAATTCTGTGTCATGTCTGTGTTTTCTCTACTCTTCTCAGAAGTAAAGACTTGGAAGTAAAGACTCTCAGCTTAGTGTTCACTCAGTCTCAGAGTCTTTATTTTTCTTAAATAGTATCTAAGATGATGAACAATTGACTCTAAATAACTTTTCTTTGAGTTATACTGGACACATCTGTCTCTAGTTTGTTTGATTACTTTATATACACACATAAGAGGACTTCAAAATTAATGGGAAAATAAAATTAAAGTAAGAGTTTATTCTACTGCAAAAAAAAAAATTGAAAGCCATGCATAGTTTTTCATATGTATTTTCCATGAACTTATTGAAGATCCTGCATGTGTTACTACTGTGTGTGTGTGTGTGTGTGTGTGTGTGTGTGTGTCTGTAACTTGCCTGCCCCCATTATTCATTTCTCATCAGAAAAGCTCTAAGCATGGGCCAAGCCATGATCCAACTACAGGAGTGGATCCCACAGAAATGACTGCGAGTACGAGTCCCAGACGTAGTGACTTGAGAAATACGTCAGGCACGTGTGCTTGCCCAAGACCTGAAAGGATGGAGAGATGGAAGAAAGGGGACCATTTCCCATGGGGGATACTTTCTCACTTTCCCTCTTTCTGTGTCTCTCGTCTCTCTCTGGTGAGTGCACACACCCTATGGCAAAAATTGAAAAAAGAAGTGAAAAGCTTTAAGTTTGGCCCTCTTCAGTGCAGAGTTCCTCTGCTGAAACCTTAGAGTTCCTGCCTTTCATGTGGTGAGAAACTGGTTCATCCAGTTTATTTGTTTCAAATCTAGTAAGAAATGAGACACTAGTAACCTCAACAAAATGTCTGCCTCTCATAGGACACAAAGAAGTAACTAGGTCTATTTACCCATTTAGATATCTGAAATGACTTAGAAACAGGCTCTGTGAGTGACATTATTAGCGTCTTCACAGGAAGACGGTTACTGCCCGAGAGCCTACCTTTGGCAGTAGACTGCTGAAATGTTGACTTATGACTTGGAAGGATTGTCCACTTAGGGCAAAATGATAACTTCCTTCTCTGCCATTATCCGGGACGTCTTCCCGGATGTTAATGTAATTGTCCTACAAAGCAAGACAGTTATTGTAGACTTGTCCACTGACGAGAATGGTTAGGACCACAAGCATATCTAAGAGAAGGTAACAAAGAGCCAGACTCTCTCTTTAAAAGTCACATTGCCGCCTTGATTCCTCAGAGAAGCGCTTTTTCTTTGCCAGATCAATCTTCGCCACTAGTGAATAGGAGAATAACACTTACTCATGTCCTGTTCTCATCCTGATTTGATCTTGGTAAGTCCCAGAGAAGAGCACATTTCACACATTTCACACATTTCAAGTGTAATCGCTGAAAGCACTGCAGCTTAACAAATCTCTCCCTGAAGTAAGAACTTACTATTTTTTTTTTTACAGAATTAATATTGTTCCACAAGGACACAATAGAGATAGAATACTGACAAGAGCAGAGATAAATGAATGAAACTTTTTTCCCCACCCTGAAGACATAGTCTGATTTTCCGTTGCACACAGCAGTGCGTCTCTCACAGATTAAATCCCCTTTGAACGCAGCGGGGTGACTGACAAGCAAGGGGAAAATGGGAAAATAGATTCACAGCTCTGCTTACTACAGCCTTTCTCCTACAGAGCCAACTATTTTTCAAGTTTAAAAGAACAGATTAGTTCCAGTACCTAGGAAAGCACTGTACCTTAAAGCTCTGTAGGAACAATACAGAGCACAGAGATAGCTGGGTTCATTGAACTGCACATGCGTTAGACATTTGGACAAGCATGTGGACTCCAGGTCACCTGGACACCTCTGCCAGTCAAAGCTGCTCAGTCACCAACACCATGAGTTAAGTTAGGTAACACGACAGAAGGCCTGTCTGCAGGTACCTGATTCCCGTATGCAATGTGTTTCTTCTCTTCTATTAATTTCCAAGATACAGATGCCGATGAGGATCCAGTAGTTTCATTTGCTTCTATGAGAATGAGTTTCTGGCCTTCAGAAACCATCCCCGACTTCCTGGCCACCGTTATTGCAGTCTGAATATTGTCACCTAGAAGAAAGGAAGGGTATCCTAAGATGAGGCTGAAGAGATGGAACCAACCCATGCAGAGCTAGGAAAACTAGAGTAAGGAGTTCAGTTCTTACTTTAGATGTGAAGAGAAATCATCTGTAAGGTCATTTTCAGCCATGACCTTCTGTAATTCCATGACCCCTATTTGGGTTCTTGCTGTTTTTTATTGGGTTACTTTATGACCTACTAGTATATTTTTGCCAGAGGGTAGAAAAGAAAGAAAAAAGTTAAATCTATTCTATCATTCTTTATCATTCTTTGCAAATGTTTAAGACACCCCTACTATTAATAGTTTAATATGGCATCCGGTGATTCCACTTCCAATCGAGATGGAGTAAGCTCACTGACTGTAATTGAAAACTCTGAACAAAAAGGAAAAGGCTTTTGAAATGGATTTTGAAATGTAAATGAAAGCAGGCAAACTACAGAAGGGAGTCACCTTTGGAGAAGCAAACTATCAGGGAGTTTCTTTGTGTTTTGCTTTTTCCTCCTCCATGTTTGACTTGAGCGAGGATCCCCATCCTAGAGCTATTCTGGCAGCTTCAACAGAGACCCAGTTTTTGTGACCAGAGGAAGGAAGAATACTGGAGAGCATGAGGGAGATCTTAGAAAAAAGGGAACTGGACAGGTGGACCTATTCAGGGTATGAACTATATAAGCCCCAGCTTCAACCACCACCTGCAGCAGGCAAGACCGGACTTCTGGCTGAATGCTTGCTTACACAAAACAACTCAACATTTTCCAAAGATTTTACATTGTGATCTAAAGTCTTACAACATAACATTCAAAATGTTCAGATGGTCAGGATGCTCAACAAAAAATCTGGAAAATCTGGACAGTTATGTAAAAAAAAACAAAAACAAAAACAAAAAACTTGCCAATTTTTACATGACCCAGATGTAGGAATTAGCAGCGAATAGTTTGAAAGCTGCTACCATAAGCCTCTTTTATGTGGCACAGGTTAATACTCTTGAAAAAAATGGAAAGATACCAGTTCATAACAAAGAGATATGAACTATATTTTAAAAAGAGAAAAACATGGGCGAGACAGTGGCATAATAGTAATGTGCAGTGCTCTGTAAGCAAATCCACATGGGGAGATTGCCAGTTCACATCCAGAGGCCTCCCTGCTGTGCCCATGATCCACTGGCAGAGGCCAGGGTAGAAGGCAGCATCAAGAGCCCATTGGGATGATTAATCCCTCTTTATCTCTCTCACTTATGGAATAAATAAGTAAATAAAGCGAGCATATACTTTAAAAATTTTAAATATGCTACCTGAAATTTTTTTAAAAAAATAGCCAGATGTACTCAAGAGCAGAATGGAGAAGGCAGGAGAAAGTCAGTGAACTTGAAGATAGATTAATAGAAATGATGCCATCTGGAGAAAAGGTAGACAATTTTTTAAAAAGTGAACAGAGACTTAAGACCATCAAAAGGACTCACATTCATGGCACTAGAGTCTAAGAGAGAGAAGACAAAGAGGTTAGAACAGAAACAAATAATTGACAGATCAGTAGCAGAAATCTTCCCAAATGTGATAAAAAGATTTAAATTTACAGATTCAAGAAATTCAATGGACCCCAGACAGGATAAATTCAGTAAGAAACACACTCAGACACACAATAAACTAACTGCTAAAAAAAGAAAGAAAGAAAAGAAGAAAGAAAGAAAGAAAGAAAGAAAGAAAGAAAGAAAGAAAGAAAGAAAGAAAGAAAGAAAGAGAGAGAGAGAGAGAAGAAGAAAGAGAGAGAGAGAGAGAGGGAGGGAGAAAGGGAGGGAGGGAGGAAGAAAGAAAGAAGAGTAGTTAGAGATAAACAATACATAACATAACAGAGAGCAATGGTTCAAATTATCACAGACTTCTCATCAAAAAAAGCATAGAGGCAGGGAACCAGCAGTTAGCAGAATGGCTATGTCGCTGGACTCCCACGTAGTTGACTGCGGTTTGCGTCCTGGACCCCATGGCTTAAAACTCACGCAGGGCGCGTGTGCGTGCGTGCCCAAGATCCCGAGAGGAGAATGGAGGAGAGGGGATTGCGGTGTGACCATCCCCCCTGGGGGGTGATTTCTCGCTTTCTGTCTCTCTGTCTCTCTCTGTCTGTCTGGTGAGCGCACACGCCCTATAGTGAAAAACCTCTCAAAAAAAAAAAAAAAAGCATAGAGGCAAAAGACAATGGAACAACATCATTAAAGTGCTGGTAGGGGGAGAGTCATTGTCGACCCTGACTTTTATAGTGAGTGAAAATATGCTCCAGGAACAGAAGAGAAATAAAAATATTCTCAGATAAAGGAAAACTAAGATATTTGGTGCCAGCAGACATGCTCAAAATGAAATGTTAAAAGAGTTCTTGGGGGAACCAGCAGGTGGCATGATGGTTGAGGCACTAGACACTCCCACATGGCCAACTACGGTTTGAGTCCCAAACCTGGAGGCTTGCTTTCTCACTTTCTCTCTCCTCTCTCTCTCTCTCGTCAAAATAAAAAAAATGAAAAAGAATGAATAAATAATTATTAAAAAAAAAAAAGACGTTTTTGGGATCAGCAGGTGGCATGGTGGTTAAGCCATTGGACTCCCAGATAGCCAACTGCAGTTCAAGTCCTGGTCCTGGCAGCTTGAAAATCATGCTGGATACGTGTGTGCATGCCTAAAATCGCAGGAGGAGAAGGGAGGATAAAGGATTGCAGTGTTGCCATCTTCCCAGAGGATAATTTCTGTATCTCTCTCTGTCTTTCTCTGGAGAGCACAAATGCCCTATGGCAAAATCTTTAAAAAATAATAATTATGGAACCAGTAGATGGCATAACGGCTACATTGCTGGACTCCCACATAGTCGACTGCAGTTCCAGTCCCAGACCTTGTAGCTTAAAACTCATGCCAGGTAAGTGTGTGCGCATGCCCAAGATCCTGAGAGGAGAATAGAGGAGAAGAGATTGTAGCATGGCCATCCCCCCCAAGGGGTGATTTCTCTCTTTCTGTCTCCTTGTCTCTCTGTTTTTCTGGCAAGCACACAAACGCTATAATGAAAATGTCTAATAATAATAATAATAATGATTAAATAAATAAAATAAGTTCTTCAGAGTGACAGGAAATGATATCAAAAGTTAATTTAACTTGTAACTTAAGGAAATAAAACACAGCTACAGAAATGATAAAGATCTGGGTAAATACAAGCCTAATTTTCTTTATGTATGTTCCTGACTTTTGAAAGTAAAGACTGGGGCCGGCACGTGGCATGGTGGTTAAAATCACTGGACGCCCATATAGCCAACCATGGTTCAAGTCCCAGACCTGGGGGCTTGCTTTCTCACTTTCCCTCTCTCTCCCTCTGTCTCCCTCTGATTGAACTGGAAAATAATAATAATATATAAAGTTAAATAAATATCATTCTTTAAAAAAAAAAAGAAAGTAAAGACTACCATTATCTGTGGGAGTTTTAAATGTATGTCATACTTATAACAATGGTAACATACAGCAGAGAAGGCAAGGTATATTTCTTCATTTCTCAAAAAGGTAGGTATATATATTGTGATTCTTAGAGCAGCAACCATTAGAAAATAAATATTATGCTATCTGGCTGGCTCTTCTTAATATGGCTTCTTCCAGGTTTCTACCAAAGTACTTAATGAAGATCCTCAAAAGGGCTGCACTGGTAGGCAGGAGCCACTCCGTGTGAAGTTGGAAAAGCATAGGGAGTCCTGAGAGCTAAGAGGCTTCCTCTACCTGCCTCAGCAGGGTGCCAGCAGTTGGTCTGCTTCGTAACACTGGCCCATTTTGCTGTTCATCATTGTGAGAGAGCTACTATTTAAGAAATACAACCAACGCTAAGCTTCAACATCTCATAAAGAAATATAATAGCATCACAGAACCCAGAGACTGGAGAAGAAAAGATCAGTGGAACAACCAGGACACATCACCAGTGGAGTATACACACACACACACACACACAGTTTTCTAGCATCATTCCCACCCAAAAACACAATTTAGGAACTCAATAATTCAATGGTGATTTGAAGGAGATAATGACATTCTTGAAACCTACATCATGGTTAGAAAATATTGATTTTTAAAAAAATATCTTTAGGGCCAGCAGGTGGCATGATGTTTGGAGTGGCTGGATCCCACATGGCCAACGGCATGGTTGCTATCCCAGACCAAGTGACGTGGAAGATATGGTGGGCATGTGTACCCATGTGCCCAAAGTCCTGAGAGAAGAGTAGAGGAGAAGGGTCATCCCTGGGGGGATGTTTTCTCACTACCTCCTTCTCTCTCCAGTGAGTACATACATCCTATAGCAAATTTAAAAATACACCTTAAATCACAAAGAAAAGCTATAAAAATATCATGATCATGAAAAAAAGATAAGATACTAAGAGGATTGACCCAGGAGACATGCCATGTGAATGATAGAAATTCTAGAATTAAAAAAAAAAAATCCAAACAACAGGGAACCAGCAGTTAGCGTAATGGCTATGTCACTGGACTCCCACATAGTCAACCGCGGTTCGGGTCCCGGACCCGGTGACTTAAAACTCACGCCGGGCACGTGTGCATGTGTGCCCAAGATCCCGAGAGGAGAATGGAGGAG